TAGCGTCATTTAGCAATATGCTTCATATCTCTGACAAAATGGTTAAGTATTTCATATTTTTTGTATAATAATAGGGTTTATAATGCACGTACCAATTTTGATATCTCATGACTCATCCAATTTGATATCTCATGACTCATCAATTTACTTTTGCAAGAGATATTTAGCCGGTTTTTGTAACAAATTAATCGACCTTAGTGCATCAAATAAGATTCTTACAGTGACAAATTCCACGTAATTTCAAATTATGAAGCTCTCAGTCTACTTTTTTATTAATTTATTTTTGATTAGTATGTTTTGGTATTAAAAAAATATGCTATATAAAAAGCGAAAATCTATTAATGAAAATTTTCACTTTTTAATGTGTTGCAGTTATTCTTAGTAAAAATTTAGGCAATGTTTCTTGCTTAAATGACAATATTTTTGTACCATTTGATTCGTTTCATTGAGACGAATAAAATGGCTTGATATTGTTCGATTCTGGTAGATGAGTCACAAGATATCTTAAATAGTGCTTTCATCATAACTAGTCAATTATCTTACATATATACTCATATTAATATTTTTCACATAATTTACTTAGAAATATGCATACACACAATTATTTAAAAAATTATTCAAATGGTGTTATAATACATCTATTGGCTACCAAAAACGGGTTCATCATGATTTACTAGTACCAAAGGATTTATATATACAAACATATAAATATTTAAAAGAAAAATATGCACGAGAATTGGTCAGGTAACTTCCTTTTATGTATATGTGTTATTTTGTATTTCTGCATTTACTTGGAATTTTATATATTTATTTAATTTAATAGTAATTGGACAGAGAAGACAGATCCAGCAAAATTTGTATTTGAAGACATTGCGATTGCAAGTTGGTTAATATCATTATGGACGTTAGAAAGACAAGAAAGATGTCAAACAAGGTATAAAAAAACGTGATTATTAAAATGGGTTAATACTTAGGCTAACATCAATTTTAATGTTCGGGTTAATATTGTGTTTAGGTTACAGTCATTTGTTGATTTAGGATGTGGAAATGGTTTGTTGACCTTTCTGCTTACATCTGAGGGACATGAAGGAATGGGTATTGATGTGCGAAAAAGAAAAATATGGGATGTGTTTCAAAATAAAGGAGCTAATTTGTTAGGTATAGAACAATATTAAAAAAGATTTTAGATGTCATAACGTTGTTTAATAAATTTATAATATACTGTAATTTATTTAGTTGAAACATTGCAGCCAAATGTTGTAACTTATCCGAATGCAGATTGGATAATTGGAAACCATGCTGATGAACTTGTTCCTTGGTAAATTTATAA